CTTCCCCTCTCTCTCCCTCTCTCTCCCTCTATTATCAATTCAGATGGCATGTTTATACGACTAATTGTAGAGTGCTTCATGGTGACAACCTTGTGCCTCTTTTATTTTTCATTTATATTAATAATTTGCCATAATAATTAGAATTTAAAAAACTACTTTTTACTGATTTGAAAATGTTTAAGTCAATAGATAATGAAAATGATTCAAAAGTGGCAAGCTGATGTAAATATATACCTATTATGCTTGGAAAATAATTTTAACGTAAATAATTTCAACTTTTAACTTTAATATTAAAAATGTCTTCATTAATTATACAAGAGCAAACCGTATACAAAAATCAGTCACTAAATGAATAATAAATCACAAAACGTGTATACCTTGTAAAAGTCTTAGATGTTAAGATTAATCATAATCTGACTTACCATCAACGCATATTTAATATTACAAATGAATTATAAGATCTTAGTTTTATTACTCAAATTTGAGCCTCAATGACACTCCAAGTTTGTTACTTCTCTTTAATTGTCTTATGCACACTAAATTGGAATACGGTTCATTTATTTAATATTTTGGTTGCAAATCCATTAGTTATCAAATTGAAAAAATGTAAAACGTTTTTCATGATACTGAAATTATTATAAAAATTTCAAGAAATCTGCTCATAAATTTTCATATAATATTCTAGTTAAATTTTGCGACTTAAGTATTCTTGCCAACCAAAGAATCTTTGCTGAACAAATGGTTTATTATCCAAAATAGGTAATGGCATATCATTAAACAGTGAATTGTTCGACCATCAAATGTAAACTGTCGTGAATTATTTTACTTTAAGAAACCAAATTGTGTACCATACTATTAGTATGCACTATTTATACCCTCTTATCAATAGTAGAACCACCAAGTATTTACTACTCTTGAATGTTTTCGAAATTCAGTAAATTGAGTTAAATGTAATCTTTAGTCTTCAGTTCTTTTTTTAATTAGAAGCAAAATTTGAATAAAATATTGAAATATTGTTAAATGTAGATACGTTAATTTTAGTATTGCTCGCTGTTATGTATGTCCCTGATAATTTTGTAATTATGTTTTTTTATTTTTGTTGTATTTTATTGGTATGCTACGTTTTATTAATTTGTATTGTATATTTTTTGTATTACTCTATATTTTCTACTTTTCCCTTTCAACTGTGATTTTTTTAAAAATATTTTTAGACAGTCTTTACTACAAGTGGTTCCTTTAGAGCATGTATAGATTGCTAAAAGTTTAATTTTTGTCACTAGTATAAAAGTGAGACGATACTCACAAGTTCAGATAAGTGTGTAAATGCAACAAACTACACAAAATACTTTCGTGTGACTACATCAGCTGCCACTGACCTTAAAGTATCATTTGTATTCTTGAATAAAAATAAAATGAAATTCAATAATGTTGCCTAAAACATTGTGTATACCACACGTGAAACTGATATTATTTTGCTGGTATGATTATGCCTTTCACCCTATGGGCCTCATGTCGCAACATTTCCTACTCGAGAAATACGGATGTCACATTTACCACTCACTTCTTAAATAACTGTTTAGTGTTTCTCTTCATTGATTCTTGTGAATTTTTTCTGTAACACGATAAACAAATAAATAGTAGATTATCGTGTGACAGAAAAAAATCACAAAAATCAATGAAGAGAAACACTGAATTTACAGCAATTGCTGTAACTGGGTGTTGGTTTGCCGTGTTTTGGATAAACAAATGAATAGTAGGTTATCAGAGCAACAATAGAGTTTTAACTTTGCTTTAAAATCTTGTCAGTTTCCGTAGCTGTATGATGAAGAAAAGCTCAGGTAGGCGGAGTTTGCTAGTTACGGTGAAGGAATACATCATGTTCGCCTTTTGTCTCTCTTACCCTCTGAGCCTGAGATTTAAACTAGGCTCGCATGCGGGACAGCAGCAAAGTTGAACAATTGACCCAAAATGCCAAATATGCACATACAACTGCACTGTCAGAAATCTCTGCATTACTTTAAAGAAATGTACATTAAAGTAATTATCATGAACGCATATTAAATGTAATGTACACATGAACATTGGGATGCAATATTCACAACTTTATTGTCTTATGTGGAAGGAAGGAATGAATGATCTGGATGCACTGGTAATGAGAAGCAGGGGATATGGAAGAACCTCTACATAAAATCTATGTGTATTGTAATTGATACTTTGGTATGACTGTATCGGCTACTACTGACCTTAATGGTATATTTTAAATAATGATTTGTGTGTGATCATTTATTGCACTTGAATAAAAATAAAATTAAAGTGTTACAATTCCTTTCAATTTAAAAGAATATCAGAGTTTAAGGTCAGTGATCGTTCATCACAAGAAAGATATTTATTACAGATTCGTTTCATTAGAACATGATACCTTAGTATATAGTAACCATTGTCCTCGTTACGTCTGCATTA